TGGATGGATGAAGTCCCTGCTCACCCTCATCCCAAGCTGATGGAGATGGAATGGAAAGCCCCAGCTGGCTGCAGGCTGCTGCTGCTGGGTGTCACCCGCAGGGATTGTGACTGTCTCCTGCCAAAAGGGGTGAAAACCCAGGAGCCCAGCGCTGCCCCCGCCATAAATGCACTAAATCCTTCTGCTCGGGCAAGTAAAGCCTTCGATTGAGGGAGATGATGGGCCCCTTCCTCCCCTCTGAATGGGGTTAGTGGGGGTAACAAGGGAGAGAGGATCCCTGAGGATGATGAAGGTGACGTTTTAGGGTTCATCTGATGTTTCTATCACAGCTCAGAGCTGGAGTGAACCCGGGGGGTCTGCAGGCTCCCAGTAACACGGGCTGTTTGTGCAGGGGGTCGGGAGAGCTCCATCTTCCCCGGCTTTTCCCCAGCTTTTCCCCCGCTCTCCATCATTCCTGCCGGGCAGCAGCGGAGACACAGGTAATTTTGGGGGGTGGGGGATGGAAAAATCTGGGTTTGAGCAGGATTTTGGAGCAGCTGAGAAGGCAGCAGAGCTCCTGGGCAGGGAGGTGGGGGCTGGCCTTGCCTCTGCCGCTGGCGAAGTCCAACGGGGTGAGTCCCAAAGGCCTGGCCATGGCCTTCTCCAATTGAGGTCCCACACATGGACACTGCTGGGAAGCAGGGATTTTACCTGATTTTGCAATAATTGCCGTGAAAACTGGCTGTAAATGCAGCTTTGGAGCCGTTCCCATCCCTCTGGGTGTCACATCTCTTGACCACTGCACCCCAAACCTCCTGGGGTGCCACAAACCTGTCCTTGCCCTTGGGTGACCTTCCCTTGGCAGGACGGGGCCGGTCCCCAGTGCCCCGGGGGTGACAGCGAGGGGGGGTGAGGGACCCCCCCAGCCAGGGGGACCTTTCCTGAGGCTGCTCTTGGCTTAAAACTTCACAGCAACCGTTGGGAGGAGGAGAAAAGGTGGCGGAGGGGGATCCCCCCGTGCTCCCCTCGGCAGCCCTGCTGCACCGGGGCGGTGGGGAAAACCTCTGGAGAGGAGCTGGATCCTCGGGAAGAGCAGAGCATCCCGTGGGGCTGGATCCTGCTCTGCCCACACCACGGTCCTGGACCACGCGGTGGTTGTGGGGGTGCAACGGGGACCCCAAATCCCAGGGTCTGGCTTGTGCAGGGGGTGATGGCGGGAGCTTGGAGCTCTCCTTCTGCCTCCAAAGTCTTCCTCGGGTGGGTTTCGAGGCTTTTCCTTCACAGTGAACTTCTGTGCCCTCTCCCCAGCCTTCAGCTCCTGGGGGGGGACAACCATGGGGCTGCGTGTCCCCCCCCAACCCGCTGCTGCCCATCCCGACGCCTGCCTCC